AACTGAACGACTCCCGTGGCACGGGTGTAGTGCCCTCTGGAGTGTCGTGGTCAGTTATATACGCCATCCTCTATAGCAATTTTCATGGGTATGTCGATTTTTTTGTAATATTCTAACAATATGATAAATTTATTCCCTTCAAAAATAACTTGAGAAAGGCTAATCCTAAATTTAAAATGTATATTTGTACATGTATTTTATTTTTTATATGTTATTTAAAAATGTGAAACATACTTAGGTAAATAATTATCGTATGACGCTTCTTAAAATCTGCAATCACCATAAATTTCTTTGAGATGTTATTGCTATAGAAATGATATACAATTTGATATTTCATATTGTTAGTTTGGAGTCTACTAAATTCCTATACTTGTACTGAGTTATTACCAATTTTTAATTTTAATAATTTAAGAAACCCTTACTGAAAATTTAAATGTATATATTCTTGTTAAAGAGAGTAGGATGAAACTTTTCAACATTTTTGCAATAAAATGCTTTAAGGAAAGATCGGCTGCCGTTCGACCAATTGTACTTTACGAGAGAATATCGTCTATCTACCGCAGCTAATTGAGGTCTCTGTTTTTATGTATATTACCGAATACTATTAAACTAATTTTAGCGTTTGAATAGATTGAATAACTTTCTTTAAGGAAAATTTGTGTACTTTATTATGCCCTGAACAAGGTATAATAAGTTAGCCCGGAAGTTTGTAGCACCCAGAAAGAAACGTCGGGGACCCTATAATGTATAGGTCAAGTAAAAAGTTCGTTCGGTTTTTATCTAAGAGACGGCGTTATTGTCCATAGTACTAGTGTTACATGTTGCATCATGTCATACTATACGGTGCTGCAAACGCGTTTATTCGCGCTAAAAGTTTGTCTTTCACAGTTTTTCGATTGATTGACTCAGTACGCTGTGAGCGCTCGTCAAAGATGGACACCACCATAGAGAAAATTCGCTATATTTTACAATTTTTCTTCGATCAAGGCAAATTAATTTAGTTTATGGGCCCGATACTGTAAACGAACGTGTAGCACAAAAGTGGTTTCCTAGGTTCCGTTCCAGTAATTTCAATGTCAAAGATGCACCACGCGTCGGGAGCCCTGTCGTCGAAAATTGCAATAAAATCATGGAAATAGTGGAAACAAACCGTCACGTGGGCACTTACTTAATTGCTAAGGAACTAAAAATAAGCCAGAAAATCGTTTGGAACCATTTGCATAACCTTGGATTCAAAAAGAAGCTCGATGTTTGGGTGCCACACGGACTAACGCAAAAAAACATGATGGACCAAATTTCCATCTGCGAATCGCTGCTGAATCGCAACAAAATCGACCCGTTTCTGAAGCGGATTGTGACTGGTGGTGAAAAATGGGTCACATACGACAACATCGAGCGCAAACGGTCGTGGTCAAAGCTCGGGGAAGTGGCCCAGACGGTGGCCAAGACGATGGCCAAGACCGGATTGACGGCCAGTAAGGTTTTGCTGTGTGTTTGGTGGGATTGGCAAGGAATAATCTACTAATTCGGCCCTCTACTGCCAACAACTGGACAGCTTGAAGGCAGCACTCATCCAGAAGAGGCCATCTTTGATTAACGGATGCCGAATTGTGTTCCATCAGGACAACGCCAGACCACACACGTCTTTGGTGACTCGCTAGAAACTCCGGGAGCTCGGATGGGAGGTCTTAATGCACCCACCTTATAGTCCGGACCTGGCACCAAGTGATTATCATCTTTTCCTGCCCATGGCGAACGCGCTTAATGGTGAGAAGTTGGCCTCAAGAGAAGCCTGTGAAAATTGGCTCTCCGAGTTTTTTGCCAATAGGGACGCAGCCTTCTACGAGAGGGGTATAATGAATTTGGCATCTCTCTATTTGACTTAAATCGGACAAATGTACACAAAGTTATCATCAATAAAAACCGAACGAACTGTTATATATAAACGATCAGCATGACGAGCTCGATTTAGTCCCTCAGTTTTTGAGACATCGATCTGAAATTTTGTATACGTCCTGTTCCCCTCAAGAAGCTGCTCATTTGTCGGAACCGGATATCGGACGACTATAGCATATACATATGTAGGAGTCATACAAACTGAACGATCAAAATAAATTTCACCACTGCTATATAGCACTATTTTAAATTCAATATGAGTTTCTAGTACACAAATCCAAGCGCACCAAGCAATATATTTAGATGAAACTTTGCACAATTAGTGCCTTTGAGGTATGCCATTTTGAGTCTAAAAATTATTCAAGCCTCACATACCGAATATGTGGACCCCAGTGCGCGTGGCTGACTTTTTGCCGAAAATGTCGGTCAATCTGGGAGATATGTTATTGAAATTCGTGGAAAATGTTTCCTTAATAATAATTTACCCTGGGGACAGCTTGAGATACAATTCGCCTAAGGTGTCCAGGCCATTCAGCTCCTTTAAGGGTTGTTTGAAGCAATGGAACCTAGAGGAACATCACAGGTCTTGGAACACAAACAACATAGGACGTACAACAAAGTTACTTTGTTGCAGTGTTGATGGTGGACAGATCAAAAAGCTTCTAACTGTAGGCAAAATGGAGCTTAGCAACATTGCAGAGATCATGAAAGACCACCTATCCTTAAAATCCCATCTTCAGAAATTGGGAAAGTGAATTCTGCGAAATGCAGAGCATGCGCGGAGAATGATGAGACGCTAGAACATTATCTATGCGTATGCTCATACTTCAGCCGGTCATATTCCACGGCTCCCAAAACTTCATCCTAAGAGAAATTGAGCAGTTGGGGTGGAAAATAATGAGATTTTTTTACCAAATCCACAGAGTAACGGGATAAGGCGTAAATTGGTTTTCGTCCGGGAGCACAATGGGCCTAATGATGGCCCAAGTCAGTCCTTCAACCAACCAACAATTTACCCTTGTGTCAAAAATAGGTGGAAGTGGTTCAATACTTCTCTTAGCCCCCATATACCTAATATAAAAATTGTCGAACTTTTAGTTGATTTTATATCACATATATCGACCGAATTGGGAGTTATTTCAATTAAATTGAGAGAGCATATTTTTTTAATAAAGATAAAATAATATTGGGCGAAAACTTGCCTTAGCCCAAATAACTGATATTCAGGATTTTGAAACTTCCGGTGGACTTTACTCCATGTAGATGTTTACATTTTTATAAAATTGCTTGAAATTTGTTTTTAAGTATACCTGACCAATGTCAAAAATTAATGCAATCCCCTTATATCCTATATAATAGTTTCCAACTTTCCATCTCAAGTTAAACTGTTTAGGTTGCTCAAAATGTGTTATATTTTAATGAAATTAAGCGATTACAGTTTCTTAAAAGGTGTAAAATTACTGAATTTCGATCCTTTGGTTGACGTTTTTACATCAAGCAAGCCTCTTCGGTTGAATTTATAACACATATATCTCATTTGAGGATGATTTTAATATGATTTTTGCTGACGGGAGATAAAATATGAAATAAAACTAAGTTAGTATGTGACCTTAAAATTAATTTAGTATGATCATCAACTTGATTGTTAACCATTCACCATTTCGTTGAACAATGAAGTTTTACTCTTTCGCTACATTTTTATACTCTCGCAACCTGTTGCTACAGAGTATAATAGTTTTGTTCACCTAACGGTTGTTTGTATCACCTAAAACTAATCGAGTTAGATATAGGGTTATATATATATAAATGATCAGGATGAAGAGACGAGTTGAAATCCGGGTGACTGTCTGTCCGTCCGTCCGTCCGTCCGTCCGTGCAAGCTCTAACTTGAGTAAAAATTGAGATATCTTTATGAAACTTGGTAGACATGTTTCTTGGTACCGTGAGACGGTTGGTATTGCAGATGGGCGTAATCGGACCACTGCCACGCCCAAAAAACACCATTAATCAAAAACAAATAACTTGCCATAACTAAGCTCCGCAATAAGACACAAGACTGTTATTTGGTACACAGGATCACATTAGGGAGGGGCATCTGCAGTTAAAACTTTTTTTTTAAAAGTGGGCGTGGTCCCGCCTCTAATAGGTTTAATGTGCATATCTCCTAAACCACTAATGCTATAATAACAAAATTCACTAGAAGCAAATGTTTTTAGCACTTCTATTGACGGTGTGAAAATAGTTGAAATCGGGTGGCAAATATAACGGAACTGTTAAAAACTACTAAAAGCGCGATAAATCAAGCACTAAACACGCCAGAGACATTAAATTTTATCTCTGAGATGGTATAAATTGGCTTTATAGGAACCGCGTTCAAAATTAGTCAGTGGGCGTGGCACAGCCCACTTTTAGGTGAAAACCCATATCTTGAGATCTGCTCAAGCGATTTCAACCAAATTCGGTGCATAACGTTCTTTTCATGTTTCTATGTCATAGTGCGAAAATGGGCGAAATCGGACTACAACCACGCTTACTTCCCATATAACACCATTTTCAATTCCATCTGATTCTTTCACTTTCCACTATGCAAATCAGGTAATAATGATTATATCGGGGTAAAACTTTGCGTGAATAATGCAATTAAAGTATGCCACCTTGTGGCCAAAAATTGTCTAAATCGAACCAAAACTGTTCAAGCCGCTAAGTACTAAATATGTGGACCCCAGTGCCTATAGTTGACCTTCTACCGAAAATATCAGTCAATGCACAAAGAAATTTCAAACGAGTATACCATTTGACTTTGCGAGAGTATAAAATGTTCGGTTACATCCGAACTTAGCCCTTCCTTACTTGTTTTTGAATTAATTTGTTTCAAGCAATATCTGTTATTCGTTTGGTTAAAGTAGCTTGTTTTGAAGTTTTAAATTTAAAAAATACAGTGCATGAATATTTATTTGTCCGTCTTTTAATATGAACATCATAAATAAACTATAAACATTTTTATATTGTATTATTCTCTAATGACAATGTCATTAATCTCATTATGATATTTTTAAAGGTAAAGGATAGGTTTTAAGAGGTTTATTTTTTCATGTTTAACTTACCAGAATAGAAACTATCCAAACTGTGGAAATCATCCTCTTCGGCATCTTCAGTGTATACTTCGTCATTTAAATATTCTCTATCTTCGTTGTCTAATTCCCTCATTCGTTCCGTGGAAATATTACTGACACAGTCGTTATCCATTTTTATAGTCAGACTATCAAGTTTTGTATTTTTTGTATTCTTTACAATATTATTAGTTGTTGATTCTATAAAAATTAAACAAACATATAAAGGTGTGTTTGTATTATCAGAGTATTCAACCATTTTATATAAAAGCTTTAATAGCGCTATTTTTTTGAAAACAATTACATTAAAGATCCAAGAATCTTGATGAAATAGTTTCTCCTTGTCTTAAACAAACAAACTAAAAATGTTTTTAACGAATATATGTAATATAGGATAACATGCATTAAAATGAATATCGACCGCACAAAAAGGGAACTGAAAAATAGAAGTAGTAATTAAATACTAATATTAATGAAGAGAAGTTAGTGTTAAAAAATTAGTTACTTGGTGCGATAGAAATATCTGTACTGTATCTTAAAAATTGTAAAACGATGTCCTTTTTCCGATGATACCTTTTTATGTAAAAAAAAGTATTAAATTTTGTTGATTTGGGAGTTACAAATGGTTTACAACTTTGGTTGGGCCTATGTTGGAATTCCTTCATTTTATAGGAGTCATTTATTTTTCTCTTTATATGTTAAATATTTAGACATAAAAACTCTCTTGTTTTTCATGACTCGGCTAATTATTAATAATATTATTATATATTATATGTATATGGATAAGTAATTGTTTGTTTGTTAACTAAAAATTATAATTGGACGAAATAATTAACTTAAGGAAAAATAATTGGATATAATCGAAAGACGCCTTTGTTTCATTATCTTCAAAATGGAAATGAAACTAGTCAATCGTTAGTACTTGTGCGATCAGAAGGTCTATCTGGCGCGAGCAGAATCTCACTAGATTTAGTCAGCCCTCAGGAAAGAGATTGTCGTAGTGATCTGCAAATCATTATTGATTCCGCACATCATTATAGACCTGCACACGCCAGATTCACTCGTCACGTGGATCATCCTAAATTTCTAACCTAACCTACCTTAAGATATAGTTAATATTATATTAGAATTTAAGATCCATACCTTCAGCCCAATAACAGTTTCACATAAATAAGTACACACCGTTGCAGCGGACGATACAGAGTCTCCTACACATATCAAAGTTGAAAATTGGTGAGACGATTATAATGTCTTCTAAAGTTAAACACCCGAATACAGGTGAAAAATTAATAAGAATTTGAAATGTCCGCATCTTTTACTTTATTCCAAGTACAAATGAAAATATTACAACAATAATTAGCACAAATGGTGTTTCATCCCAAAAAATTGTCGAAATCGGTCACCAAATACAATATATAGGTAAACGAGTTTAAATAATTAAAACTTTTTGTAACTTATTTAAATTTTTTTATAGATATTCAGCACATTTTGCTTCATAACTATGGGTGGAAAATTACCTTTTTTGTTGGCTGGGTATGCATGTCTCTGTATGCTTGATTGCATATACATACACACTTATATGTTTGTTGATGGCCTAATGCAACATGACGCCGAACCAGTCGCTTCATTGTTAGTAGATGTACATCCCAGGTGTAAGGAATTTTGATTAGTAAAATCTCAAGGGTCCCATAATTCCCCCAAAGAAGTGTACGTTGCGCCATTACACCAAGGCAAAACAAACAATAATATTAAGAGTGAACCAACAACAAAAGCCAATGTTTCTTTCACTAAACCTCTAATTTTCTCTTCATTTTCTCATAACAGCACCTGTATATATGAATGCAATATATACTAGGTTTATCCTTAAAATACCGCAGCAGCTATATAATAAATAAATCCTGGAGTTATATTTTTTACGCACATGAGAGCGCATCTTATTTCATAAGTTTAAATAACATTTTACTTTATAATATATTATATTATATCAAACTTTACTCAAAAGGCTAAAGAGATAACATACGTAGCTAATGTACATATGCATATTGTATGTTAATCTAGGCTAAATGATAAAGAGAGCAGTCGAGATACAGCTGAGAAGTGCATGCGCAAACGCTGTATTTCGCAAAATTTAAGAGAAAATTCAAACATAGGAGTAGTTATGCACAGGTATGCTTTACATTCAAATTGGAATATCGTCAGCTGTTTGGCAGAACACTGAAAAACACGTGCTACAAAATATTTGTAAAAATACAAGTATTCGAAATATTATGTAAGTAAAACTTTCGATATGTTTGACTATAAATAAAATATTATTTTCTGGTATACGTATTTTTTCAATCACAATCAGACTTTAGTTTATATAGAAGTTGGGAGCTAAAAGATTTAGTATAGTATATTTCTACATATGTGTCCTAGTGTGTAAGTATAAATATTACTAACAAAGAAATAGAGGGGTGCGCGAACTTGCTCATTAACATTAACATTGCTTTTAATGAACTACAAAATAGTACCCACTTTATGTCCTAACATACATTCATATACAAATTTACTTATGTATAGGTATATAAGTGTACCATACACTCCACCGCTAGATCAAAATCCAAAAATGTATCGAATACCACCGAAACAGCTATGTAGAAAATATGGCAGCAAATCTTTCTTTACCGCTATGCATTGCTGGATAGTTATGCAAATTATGGAATTGTTGAACACCTGCAACAGCGCGCCCAAGTGACTAGAATTTGCTAGCTCTACCATCATATTTGAGCGGAGAAATACCTTTGGAAGTCCCACATTTATCAGCGCTGTATGCCAATATGTTCTTATACCTACATTGGTGTGACTGTTTGTTTATCGATTCCATCATCATTGACTCGTCAATGTTGAAAAGACTGCAGCTTCAACTAGGTACACTAGGAAATTTTTTCTGTAGTGACAAGAAATGAATATGAGTTGATGGATTTCTTACGTCAGATAAAAATCCGTGTCCGTTCCGTTTAGGTAGACCCGACCTTTGTTGGTTTAGAGGCGTTTAGTATAATATTTCTTTCATTAGAAATATACTAACACTATGAAAAAACTTCAAGGATATTATTTTTGAAAGATACCAAAGCTAAAACTTCGTCCCTTTCTGAAAGATAAGTGAAATCACATATCTCCGGACCTATTGGATCAACCAAATTCGGTAAATAACATTATACTGACGACCCCATGTTACATTATGAAAATAGGCGTAATCGGACTGCAACCACACCTACTTCCCATATTGCACAATTTTAAATTCAATATGACTTTCTAGTGCACAAAGCAATATATTATATTTAGATGAAACTTTACACAAATAGTGCCTTTGAGGTATGCCATTTTGACTCTAAAAATTGTTCAAGCCTCACATACCGGATATGTGGATGTGCGTATGGCTGACTTTTTGCCGAAAATATCGGTCAATCTGAGAGATATGTTATTAGAATTGGTGGAAACTGTTTCCTTAATAATAATTTACCCTTGTGTCAAAAATGGGTTCAATCGCTTCAATACTTCCCATAGTTCCCATATTCTCGTACCTAATATGTATACAAATTTTTAAACTTTCTTTCAGTTGTCTTTATACCACATATATCGGCCAATGTGGGAGTTATAGTTAATAGTGAAATTGAGAGATTTTTAATAACAATGTATCTTTGTGCCTAAAATGGATAAAATCGGACGAAAACTTGCCTTAGCCCCTACCTAACTGGTATTCAGGATTTTGAAACATAATATTTAAAAAATTGATTGAAAATAAGGTTTCAAGTATACCTGAACAATGTCAAAAATTAATGCAATCAGCTATTCCATTTCTCTGCCCCAATATTTCGTATATAATGACGACTTTACAACTGACTTCAAACCGTTTAGGTTGGTTAAAATGTGTGATATTTTAATAAAATTAAGTGGACGAGTTTTCTTAAAAGTTTTATATGCCACATATTCGGATGATCCAAGTAGAGGTACCTTATTCCGTATCCGTTTTTTGACAGATGTTGCGTGAGTCGTGTTAATCTGTCATGTTATTTTTGTTCACTATTGCTTGGCATTTCATTATAAAAAGACTTACGCTTGAACAACATTAAGAAATTATTCAACTTTATTACGAAAAGTAACGTTCTGTAAAGAATGTGCTTCGCGGGCTTCGCTTAACTTATGGTTAACATAATCGGCCTACTAAGCGTACTATATGTCACGCATCTTGTTATCCAGCGTTCATTATTGGATAAAATTCGACCGAATAGACCACGTCCAGCACGCAGTGAAGAAAATATAGCGTCCGTAGCTGAGAGTGTACACGAAGACCATGGAGAGTCTATTCGGCGCCGTTCGCAACAACTCAGACTAACGTATGGAACGACTTGGCCCACTTTGCGTCAAGATCTTAAATTGAAAGTGTATAAAATATAGCTTATACAAGAACTGAAGCCGCTCGACCTTCCGAAGCGCCATTGCGACGCTCTATGTGCTGTTGAAAAATTCCAAGAAGACGTTTTCGAGCCAAATTTTGTTCAACGATGAGAACGTAGCCGTCAATGGAGACCATCATCATACCATGATAACCGACTATTTGATGTATGAAATTGAAGCTCGTGACCTCGGTGACATTTGGTTTAAGCAAAACGGCGCCACTTCCCACACATCGCATCAATCAATGGGAGAACACTTCGGTGAGCAGATAATTTCACGTTTTAGGCCGGTCGATTGGCCATCAAGATCGTGTGATATCACACCGTTAGACTACCAGACCAAATGCTTGAACGAGTCATCGAAACTTGGACCAATGAGTGGACCATCTGAGACGTAGCCGCAGCCAACATTTGAAAGAGATAATCTTCAAAAAAAGAATTGCCAAAGAATGTTTATACGAATGATAATAAACATTTCCCGGGAATTCTGGGTGTTTTCTTTAAAAAAGTGGATGGATCACTTAATAAAAATAATTGAGTTTATGACCTTCAAAATAAATTAATATGATACCAAATTTGATTATAATTCAATCACGATGTCGAACAATGAAGTTGAGTTCGCTACATTTTTTAATATTGCCAACAGCTTAAGGTATTTAGCCGGCTTTGATCCTTGCAATGCAAGAGTAGAAAATATTCGGTTGCACACAAACGTTGCCCTCCCTAACTTGTTTATTATTGGTATTGGCAGTAGATTTCCAAATA